TCGATCCTTACAGACAGTCGCTCTTAAAGTAAATTCCAATGACCTTTACGAAAATGTGATGCCACTTTTAAAGGTCCATGCATGTGACGTGTATGGTCGCTCCAAATGATTCAAAGGCTTATTAATTATTCGTGAGTTTTTGAATTATTTCTAAAGCTTGCCCAAGAAGCAAAAACACTTTCATAAAAAATGAGGGTCATAGTTAGTCATCGAAGTTTTTGGGAAACAGAACTCTCAGGCGACCTTGCCAAATTCCATGTCCAATATACTTTTGACAGCCTTCACCACATCTTGAAATAAAACTATTGTAAACATTTAAATGTGTCTGACATGAGCTGCATTGGAATCACTCTAATATTTAAAAATATAAGTAGCCTAAATTTGCTGCTGGTAGTTTATTGCATGCTACCAACACTCTACTGACCCCTGCATGTAAACCACTTTAAGTTTACCAACGCAACTCTGTGGCATCCTAGCATTAATGTAAAAAAAAATGTTTGTTTCTTTTTGATAGCCTTAAAGCCTCCCTTCAAGCTGTTTTTTAGAGTCAAGTTTTATGCCGTAGATCCAAGTGTAGTGCATGAAGAGATTACAAGGTAAGAAGTCTGATATTAACTAGTACTCTTTACTTCAAGTTACCATGGCTGTTGAAGATATCACAGGGCTATCAATTAAAAGGCATTGTTCCCCCACTGACTTTTGTTTTTGATTTAAACATTTTGACTGTCAAATAAACAGTCTTCATCAATAATAATTTAGTTAAATAATAATAAAAATATTTATTTATTGATGACCTTTCTACATAGTAACTCTATATTCATCAAAAAGTATTGTATTAAAATCTAATAAATAACAGTAAAACTAGTGGATAAGTCGATGCTGTTATCCAATAAACTTATCTACTCCATAAGATTTATCCATTGGATAGAGCTATCCAGGCTTAGTACACACCGGTCCTGTGGTGTAAACATGGATCAGTGTCTTAAAAGCCACAGGCACCCCTATACCATGAAATTGTGTGATTAACACATTTTGTTTTACAAATGCATTCCAATTTCATCTTGTTCCAGATACCAGTTTTTCTTACAAATCAAGAGAGATATTCTTCATGGAAGGTGAGTAAAGCATTAGCCAGAATCCTCTTCTTATTTATACCTGTAAAAGTAATTTAATTGCCGGGGGGTACTCATGTATGGCTTTCAGCGATTCTACTCTGGAACAGGGTATATAAAATCGCGCTCGCTCTGGAACAGGGTATCCATTTTCGCAATACCGGAACAGGGTATGGTTTTCAGCGATCTTGCTCTGGAACAGGGTATATGAAATCACGCTCTCTCCTCTCTGGAACAGGGTATCCATTTTCGCAATACCGGAACAGGGTATGGTTTTCAGCGATCTTGCTCTGGAACAGGGTATATGAAATCACGCTCGCTCCTCTCTGGAACAGGGCTTTCAGCGATCTTGCTCTGGAACTGGGTATGAATTTCAGCAATTTTTACTCTGGAACTCAGGGCTCAGCGGCACATCCCTACTCTAAATGGGCAAGAGTACGCCCCCGGGTTTAATTGTTTTCCTAAGTGCTAAAGCATCAGTTCAAGAAGAAAGGATATCTGGKTTTTTTTTTAAATCTTACATTAGATTGAATAATAAACTTCATATTGTTATGTTTTTTAGGCTTCTCTGTTCTTACAATGAATTAGCTGAACTTGGGGCCTACATAGTTCAGGGTAAGTCTTCTATTATATGATAACCGCTCTTAATGCTTTAAGGTTGAAAATTTCGTCAGCACCATGTAATGTTTGAGATCCTTTTTCTAGCCTTTCTTTTAAATATAATCTTTTTCTTCTTTCTTCTCTATGAAATATTTACCATACTTTATATATTAAACTAATATGCTCATTTCAAATTATTTGTTAATTTTTTAAATTCCTATAATTTTGATGATTCCATTAAATATGTATGTCAATCAGCTTTTTTTCATTTACTTACCACGAGGATTCATTAGTTCATTAGTACAGTTAGTAAACCAAGGTAGGAATGCTGTGCCTTATTTTGCATTTTAACAGCAATCTGTTTCCATTTCAATACACAGCTGAACTGGGTGACTTTGATGCAGATGACAACGATCAAGGCTATGTGTCAGAATTTCGCATTGTACCCAAGCAAAGTGAAAAGCTTGAGAAAAAAATTGCTGAAATTCATAAGCAGTTGGTGTAAGTATTGACGTTCAATAGATATTAGATTGATGCATCTTGAACCAAAAAGCTTGTATGTTCTTACATTTATTCTTTCTCGATTGCATACTGCTAAGGGGCAGGAGTTGCACATTCTGAAGGGGCAAGTTTCAAAATACGATATCTTCAATTATTATTTTTTATTTTTATTTTTTTGCATCAATGTGACATTCCTTGGCAGGAAGGAGCGTGCTGTTTAACCAATAGCTATTATAACATTTGGGTCCACATGAAATCAAAAACTTTTGTGACCCTCTTGCTGATCTGAAACAGTGACGTACAGATGACGTCACTACAAAACTGAGGTGTTATGAACCTGTGAAAATTGAGCAGTGAAAATAATAACATGCCCACCATTGGAATAAAAATATAAAATTCAGGAATTATTATTGTCACTGTTMTCAAGCGCGTATTAGCAACTTTATTATTTTCATTTGGTGGCCTAGAAATTCAAGATTTTAAGAGAAAAGTGACACCTTGGTTTTGAAATTTTCTTCTTCTTTGGCCTCCCCCTCCCCATTAAACCATACATAATGAACAGTCTTAGGAATTGCTGGTAACCTTCACCTCACTCCTATTAAATTGATACAAGTGTTATGGTGTATGTAAACTTTTTTGGCCTCCCCCTCCCCCTTAAACCATACATAATGAACAGTCTTAGGAATTGCTGGTAACCTTCACCTCCCTCCTATTAAATTAATACAAGTGTTATGGTGTATGTTCCAAGAAAAAGATAAGCCATTTGGAAATATAAGGAGCAACACTCTTTTTTAATCTTGGTGGGTTAGCACAATTTTAAGAAAAAAGTCAGATTTTTTAGGCACAATTTCTCACAATTCTCAACTATATTTGTACTTTACCATTTGATACTTTAAATTTTTAATTAGTAAAAGGGGTTAACGTAGAGTGGGAGCACTTAATATGCTTTGGAAACATTTTAATGTTAATTTTAATTAACAATATTGATCTTGTTACAGTGGCCAGTATCCCTCTGTGGCTGAGAAGAATTTCCTTTCCAAAGTCAAAGCCCTGGACATGTATGGAGTTGATCCTCATCCATGCAAGGTAATATTATGAACCATATGTATTAGGCAGCGAAGCAACTTTGCCAAGCAGTTGGTTTATATAATGTTGTTTTGTTTGACTTAAAAGACATATTAAGTTCATTATGAAGTGGGGTTGGGATGAACTATTCATCCCATCATCACCACCAGATCCACCCCAACATATATTGAGGACAATATTGCTTGTACGATGTTTAGGATCAGGATAATGTGCAGCTGTACCTGGGGCTTACCCCATCTGGAATTGCAATAATCAGAGATGGCAAGAAGGTTTCTGGATTTGACTGGTAAGTCAACCATACCATAATACAAATATCTTGATTCCTATTCAACATGTTTCAGCCAATCACATGGCCTTTTAAAAAAAAATGTTTCATGTTCCCCGCGTTTCTATTTGTTACATTGTAGTAAATTCTACAACTTTACTGGTCTGAACTTTCTTTGTTCCATTGTTTGATAAACGTTTCCTTTTTTGTCAGGCCGCAGATCATCAAATGCTCTTATGATGGTAAAGTCTTCTATATCCAAGTTCTCAAGGAAGAGGTTAGTATCAAATAATGTGTGATCCCCAAAAACATGGAGCAATTTCAAAGAAATGCCATTTCACTGAAAACTGCACAAATTATAGTGCAAAGCTGCTGATTGGTTTGTGATATCTCTCTAGATGCAATGCGAAGTACAAAATGTACTGTTGGCTTTCAACAATCCACTTATGCCATCAGTCTTAGTGGAAGCAAGCATACAATATAGTATTAGCAGGGTACCTTTCCCTCCCCACTCATGCTGCTTCAAACTTGCCCCCATCCAGAGCACATATAGAGGTGTGGATATTTTTAGAAAGATTTGGTGATTTTTGTTTGAATGTTTAAAACTACTTACTTAATGTGGTGTCTTTCCTAGCGCAAAGCTAATTATGGGTTCAGACTACCTGATCCTCTGGCATGCAAGCACCTGTGGAAATGCTCTGTGGAACACCAAGCATTTTACTGGTAAGTTAACTTAGTTCATCATTAACTTGGATATCTTTTTGCTTTGCATGTTTTTGTGTCACCTGTCTGTTTGCCTGTCAGTCTCTCCGTTTGTCTGTTTTCATTTAATATGTCCTTTCTGTTGAGTTTGACTTTTTGTTTAGATAACTACTGTAACGCAATCCAAGAATATCTTTTTTTTTTGGAGGGGGGGGGGGTGGTTGTGATTAACATTCCAATTTGATCTGTGAGATACCTTGTCTTTGATCAGCCTAGAGGCTGCTTCAGGATTAGATGTGTGAGCTACCTATGCCCTGACTGATCAGCCTATAGGTTGTTTCAGGGTTTGATCTGTTATTTAGCCGTGCACTGACTTAGATCAGCACACAGGTTGTTTCAGAGTATTTCAGAGTATTTTTAAAAATGTGAAGGTTTCTAATCTTGTAGATCTTGTGGTTCATTAAGCAAGGCAAAAAAAGAAATAATTTTAGGAAATAGTTTTATTAATAAATAATTCATATGAATCGTATTTCGTTAAAGCTCCCAAAGCCAAAAGGAAATCAAGCCTCGTAGAAGGTCCTCCCTGTCACCACAGAGGCTGTTCAGACGCTCCAAATATAAATACAGGCAAGCATTGTCTACACTGTTATACTGATGTGTGTATGCCCAGCTAAAACTGATAATTGAAAAAAAAAAGAATAAATTTTACTTCAGTCTTTTAATTGCCTTTAATTTCTTTATGTAAAATTGACTGCAAAAATAAATGGATTACGGCCATGAATAATTATTTTGTTTTATTCTAAACCTACCAATGGTTTATCATGAATCCTTCGCTCTGATTGGCTGAGCAACTAGTGGTCTGGGCCCGGTGTGTACGAAGGGTGGATAGCGCTATCCGATGGATCTATCCTTATCCAGTAGTTAAGTCAATGCTGTTATCCAATATATTTATCCACTGGATAAGATTTATTCGCCAGATGGTGCTATCCACTCTTCTTACAACCGGGCCCAGTTAATTGTTAAATATTCTAAACATTCTTTTTGTAGTAGCACAAACATCCTTTGAAATCTTTTAACAATTACCTTAAAAAACAGCTTTTCTTTTTGTATTGGCAGTTAATAAGACGCGTTGTCTTTCCCCAAAAGAGTACACCTTTTTTCTGTCTTTTCTAGCAGCTGGTGTACTATCTAATATTCATGCCCTAGAAGCTTTGCTGTTGGTTTTGCACATGATTTCATTGGTCTTTTGGCTTATAATTGCTTGATAGGTTACCATAGTAAATAGTAAAGCTGGCTGCACCTGTTGTTGGCTGTGTTATTTATTCATTCGCTCTCTCTCTCTCTCTCTCTCTCTCAGCATTTATTTCAACCTTTTTTTTTGCTTTAGTGGTCCAACACAGGACGAAGTTATCGCTGAAAGCGAGAAGATAAGTCGTCCTGAGCCAGAAATCAAACGGTAAGCTGTTTAACATGCAGGCAAGGAAATATTGAAGTGAAAATATTCACTTGATATTGAATATTATTGCCCTAACGTTTAGTAAGGATCAGCAAGATCGTCAGTCCGCTTTCTAGCAATACACATATTTGACTAGGCTTTGCGAAATTTTGTTAAGATCGTCAGTCCTTTTTTTAGCAAAACAAGTATTTGACTAGGTATTGTGTAATTTTGGACTCTGTTCTGTTCTGTTTTTCTTTTCTTTCTCTTTTTTTCTTTCTTCTNTTTTTTTTTTTTTTTTTTTTTTTTTTTTTTTTTTACGTTTTCTTTCTTCGTGTTCGGCTTAATCTCAATTGTTCATGCTACTCTTTTCAACATATATTCCCATCGCCAGCCACTTAAAGTTTAAACTGGCAGTTGTCAAAAGATAAAATAGGCACGGATTAATTTTCAGAGAAAGAGTCGTTTGTACCACATTAAGATTCAAACCAATGAGTCGACTGTTTTCTACCTTCACTGAATATTCATATTGTCTTTTTAATCATAGCATATTGCTTATGTTCACAGGACGCCAAGTATTCGAATCTCTCGTCGCCTCAAACCACCAACGGCTGCAGATAATAGATCTGAAAGCACTGGCGATCTAGTACTGCCAACCACTCCCAACTATAAAAAGTCCACATCAGATAATCCAGACCCTGCTGTTGACCTTTCAAAATTCGAAACCAAACACTTCCCAGAAGTACCTGTTTCAGTTGAAGACTCTGCCGTGTCCGCTGAATCTGCTGACGTCATAGACGCTGAACCAATGAAAAACAACAACATGGCAAATAATGTGAGCCCCGGAAGACCAAAAACAGTTGCACAAACTCCTCCCAAGCAAGCTGAAGTAGAGTATTATGGCTTTAAGATGTTTATCTTTATTTTGTTTATTTTGGCTCTAATCATGATTCCTATTGCTATTGTATGGGAGACAAGGAAAACGTACCTTCGAACCACCACTGTTTACAAATCGTTTGCTAGGTGGGTCTTTAGGTCGTTTGGCTACCGTCTATAGAGACAATTTAATTGAACCTAACATCCCTTTGAATTAAACCATTCCAGACATACCCTTTCAACTTGCCATTAAAACACTTTTTGTACCTTGATGCCTGATTTTAACTTGCAGCATAAGGAGAACAGATCCTTTATTATAAGTGCGAGCGGCATTACCCAATTGCTGTTATATATGTTAAATAACGCACAACTTAGTTTGCCGATCATTTATACTCATCTTACGCTGCAATTCGAAATCAGGCGCAATCCTTAAATTCTTCAAAGTGTACGCCTATTTACCTTGAATGTGTTCAACAAATTGAAATTCTTATCCAGACGTTTAAGACATATAATAATTTATGTGGGTGTAAAGCAAGTTCGTAGACATAGTCGACGATTCTCGGTCATTTTAAAACCCAAAAGGCTTGACTGGTAACACATTTACGAAAGCCGAATAGTTCTTGGTATTTTAATCAATTATAAACTAGTCATTTTTAACGCTACTTTTTACTTACTCATTTGTAAGCTATACTCCATGAGACAACTAAATTTGGAGTCTTAGTTTTTTCCTTATGTTTATGTCTCCACTTTGGCTTTCTGATTAGGTTCAGTTTTGTTTCCATTTTATTATCGTAGTAAATTTGTAAGGACTAATATTAGAACGGATAATTTATTATTTAAAAGCTGTTTAAAAGATGCAACTGAGATGTAGCCCCTCCCTTTGAACCTTCTTACTTAACATCAACAAAAGGAACGCAATATTCCTCCCTTCAGGTGCAAAGTTAGAGACAAACAATCGTACGAATTGAATACAGCAAGGTTTTGCAACAATGTGTACGATTTTGTAGCTCGACGAATGCTGCATATTGTGCAGCTTAGACATCGCCGTGTTTTAGTCTTTCAAAAGAGGTTAGTGAAGGTTTGGTTACAAAAATACCAAATGTACCAATAGTTCATTTCGGGCTTGGTATACGACATTCAACAAATCCTTCACCAACCTTTTGTGAAATAGCTATATATATCTTTACCGTCTGTTAGGAATGACGTGATTTGCAGTACGCCTTTTTATCAAGGTTGCGCGCTCATCCAAATTTAAGAAACTTGACGGGATTATATTTCTATGAGGTTTTCCAATAAGGATATACGAAATCGATTATTCTCCTCTTAAATGTAGAACTGGCTTCTCAATTTAACTGAATTTGCGTTTTTCAGTTTTGTGGCCCGTAAAGATTGGATTCGCACGCAACCTTGAGAAAACGGGCTATAGGAGAATAGTCCATAATCAGTGCTTGATTTACTTTATGCCTATTGATTCCCCTTATCTTTTGTCTCTATTACTATTAACCATCTTCGAAATTCGTTCGTAATGATTTAATTTCGTACAGGCTTATATTCAATCAAAGCAGATTAATAGTTTACTATCACCCATTACATTATTTCATTAATTTAAATGTTATTTCACTTGATATTAATTAATGATTAATGTTATACAGTTTTGTCTCTAATTTAATTGACTGAATAAATGAGTTAAAAAGGCTTGTTTGATTTTTCATTTTACTATTCGTTTATCAGTTTCAATTTAGTCGTCCGCTTAGTTTTGCAATGAACGAAATTTTAAAATGCGGAATCTTCTTTGAAATTGCTTGGCCGAAGCAGCTATGGCAGCAATGATTTAAGGTTTAAATCATGAGCCTGCAGATCCTGCAGGATCTCCTAACGGTTAGGTATTTCACGTAACGATCTCCTAACGGTTAGGTATTTCAAGCAACGATCTCCTAACGGTTAGGTATTTCAAG